CTGGAGGGAGAGCGTGAGATTTGTGAATAGATCTATTCGGGATTGACAATCCCACACCTGAACTGCTAGGTATAGTTAGGCAGGCATGCATGGGGTGACAAATATCATATCGCCCGACGCCTGAAGAACGTCGTAGAGGTCACTAGGTCATATCAAGCATGGTTATACGACTCACAATAGTATAAACTAACCTTATTGTTTACGAGATTCCTTTCTTCTTCAGTTTTATTTTAATAATAAAACTAGTTCTTAATACAACTGGAGGATTCCAGGAATTCAACTCATAGTTTTATTTTAAGTAATGAGACTACTATCCATTACTGGTGATAGCCAGGGTTTTCATACAAAAGGGTTTTTCATTCAAAACAACGTTATATAATACAACTGGTGGTAATTAGACATTTAAGCTAATACATTATACACTACTACAGAACACAGTATCAAACGTACATGTTAGAAAATATTGGATTTTCTTGGGAAACATACAAACATTTTACAGATTCAACGACATGATTTTCATTACAAAAACATGCTTATGAACTCACCAGCTTTATGCTGATACTCTTTTTCAAAACTGCTTGTATTCTCAGGAAATCAGTAGACAGGTACATCGCACAGATTTTTGAGAAGACGGAGCGTATAGAGTCACGTCTTTTACTTTTGTTTATGCTTTTGATGTATAAAAACATGAATCAAATAGATGTAAATACCTTTTTTTAATATATATGCAATGTAATGGTTGTGTTTACTTTGATTACTATGATGCAATTATTGTGATACTACATATGACGTCATCCACCCCCGAACGTTTCCGCCGTTCCGGTTTGGGGGTGTGACAAATGTAAACTCTATATTATTAATACAATGGTTGTTGTTGCTTTGAGTACTATTATACATTTGTTTTGATATTGTACATGACGTCCTCCGCCCCCGAACGTTTCTGCCATTCCGATTTGGGGGTGTGACAACTACTGTTTTTGAACATCTATAGTTTTTGATTGGGTTAAAATTTTAGTCTAGAAAAGGATTTCCAGGTTGCTATTTTGTAGTTTGATCTCTGTGCTTGCTCATCTTCTTATCACGTTCGTCTAAAATTAGAACATCTTTACTTTTTTCTACATACCTTCAGAAGACACATACCATATCCCAACAACATGTTTATTTTCTTTTCACAGATCTTGTTGGTATCAATTATAAGCTTAGTACTTCATTAGTTTCTTCTCCTGTTAAATATGCTTTTATGTTCAATGCTTGTTTTTCACTGAAATTCACTTAATAAATCGGTATTATATGGAGAAATAATGTGCTAAATTTTGACATTTAAATAACTAATTGAGTTGAGCTGGTATCTTATGTATCACAGGTCTAATTCCTATTTATTTTTAGCTTGGTAATTGCTTAATAAATTTTCTTCTCACGTTGCCTCAAGTTTAATATCTTTTATTCTTGAATGTTTGTATGTAGCTTCAACTTTCCAAATACGTTGGAGTTGTGAGACATATGTTAATTGAAGAAAATGGAGATATAATGTGCTTGATTTCGATATTTATATGGCAGATTATGTTGAGTAGGAGATTAAATTATTCCAATCATTAGATTGCTGTAAAAATGCAAAACAAACACTCAGTACATTTCTAGCACATATTGATTTTTGGCTTTCCTAATTGCTTGATTAGTTAAATTCTCCTATTAGTTATTGTTTAACATGCTTTTGTTCTTAAATGTTTTTTGTATGTTGCTTCAATTTTCTTAAATAAAATTGGAGTTGTGAATTGTGACGTATGTCACTTCGTCTATTTAGGCATCGTGAAACTGGACCTGATGGAGTGTCACCTGTACAGGTTCTTGAACCAAAACTTAATGTGTCTACTAAATTGATTTCTTCTAAAGTTGGCATACAAGTTCCTGAAATCGATGTAAGAATATCTATATCTTTGTCTTTGATTATGTTAAGCATTTATCCATTACATGTAAAGTTGCTTTTTCTTGTGAATTTTTCTTCAATACCGATCGCATATTGATTTACATTCATTATATTAAGACTCCCAATATGGAAACTTAAATATATTCAACAAAATTTGATACTAGAGACTAAAGAAGGATATATTTTATAATTCTAAAAGTAATTTCGTTTGTTTTGAAAAAATGAAACATGTAGTTTCAAGAGTGATTGTTCTTAAAGGATTTAGTGCAATTGGCTTCATATTTGGTAGATATGTTGGTGTATTTTGTTGGTAGTTAATTAACCATATAATTTCATGAATGTCACTACAAATTGAATGTAATTGTTAGTACACATAATAATAATAATAATAATAATTGTTAAGTTTCTTAATTGATCCAGGTTCTGTATCAGCTTGTTTTTACACCTGTATTCTATGATTTTTATGACTATGATGTTGAAAACATGGAATTCGATAAACTTTTAACTAAATTCACACATGTTAGCTTCTCTGTATGTCCCTCTTTGTTTATCATTAAATGGGTTTTCTAACATCACCAATGTTATTTGAAAACATCACCAATGTTATTTAAAATCTTTAAAAAAACAACCCGCACCAAAGTATAAGTTTGCAAAAACGAAAAGTAGAAGAAAACTCAAGGCATATCTAAGATGGTATCGTCGCTAATATCACATCTAAGATAAAGCTACCCAAAAAGTTATCATCCTCACCAAGACATCAATCATACTACATATATCAATGGAAGGTGAAAGAAACAAACAAAGAAACAAATGTCAACATCAACACATTAAGTCAATCTTAAGTACACACATATGGAAACATGCGTATATCATACAAGACATTCAGTCACATAAGTAGCCACACTAACCCCAACTTCGTGGCGATGATATTCGGTGTTTCGTCGCATGGAAACGGTCGTTTCTTGTGGAGCATACAATCTTAAACCTTGGAAGGCTAAATAATGCATTCTAGTTAAAAGTATAAGTGAACGCGTGGACAACCTTCTTGACTTTTTATACCTTTGTATGTTGCAAAATATGCACCAGTGAAGATCTTTGTATCCCTCCAATAGCTACAGATTTTCATTCCACAGCAAATTAATTATGAAATTTATTTTCATCTCATATTTTTTAACAATATCTACCGATGTTTAGTTCTATAACAAAATTTCATAGCAAAATAGCTATAAATTTTCATCCTGTATGAAGTTAATAAGCCATTAAATTTAGTTACGTAGCAATATTTCATTATAGGTTTTCTACGGGACCTAGTTCTGTAGAAAAATAGCTACATAACTTCATGATGTAGAAAATATGTTATGAATTTAGTCTCGTAGGAAAATCCGGTAGTGATGCGTTATTTTTATACCACTAGATTTAATATTAATAAAACCTAACTAATTTAACCAACTAAAACACAAATACGCAGTTTACCTAGTCGTTTAATATAAAGTAAAGTAAGTAGGGTGTCGAATTCAGGGAACAGATATTTCAATAAGAAAATAACTACTACTAATTAAACTAAAGAAAATAAGCTATGGATTAAGGGTTTTATCTGATTTTGCAAGTTCGGAAGAACATAAATATCAACTAAACAATTAACTAAGGTTACTTTAAACTAAAGCAAGCAAACAGAAAACTATTTTAAACCCGAATTAAAAAGCACTTTAGTTTAGCTTCGAATCACATTTACCCTATGGTTGATTTCTAATACATTGGATTATTTATGTGGTTACCAAATTATGAATTTATTTTTCATCTTGTCCCGATTTCCTAGTGTTTGATCAATTCATGAACTACTATTACAATAGTCATGCAACTAGTGGACACTAAATTGATTTTAAAAATATTTGTACTATGAATGACAAGATCTAATGATTACCTATCTATGATCAACACAAGCAATTCAAGCAGATAATATGGATAATTAATTCTCTCTAACACAATACAAATTACTAACTATTACCACCTAACTCTAGGATTTGTTCAATCAATAGATCTAGCAATTCAATGATCATAAATAACTAGATATCAAGTTCATGCGACTAGAATGGTCATCTAACTAAACAAAAATTGCAGAATACGTAATAAAGATTGGAACTTTAACATGCTAAGATATTGATGTATCATATACAAGTAAAAACCAACATAAAATAATCCATAAAACTCAAAATCAACGCATAGTATTAGGGTTCATCTATGCTCAACAAAAGTTAGGGTATTTAGCCCATAACTAAATCTAAAAAAACACATAAACATAGAGTAAACTAGAGTAGACATGATGTAAACTAGCAAACCGAATGAACTATTATGTTCTTCGTCTCTAGATTTATTTAATCCTTGATCTCTAATTGATTCCTTGCCTTCCAAGAGCTTCTTAGAAGATTTTTCTTGCTCTTAGATGCAGAAAATCGCACCATGCCCGCAAATTTTGACCTAAAAGTTGCATTTATATGTTTCCATAAAATAGGCACCATGTCGCGGGAGAAAGCTCACCACGACATGGGGGATATTTCCTACACGTAACCTCCAAGCTTCCATGCAAGACACCCAGTAAGATTTTTTTAACTTGCCACAACATCACATCGTGGCATGTATGCGACCACGACGTGGCATTCACTTTAGCACACTATCTCTTCTCTTTACTTCATCTTGATAAGTGCTTCTAATCTCCAAGTCTATTGCTTGTCAAATTTACTTCTTTTCCTTTTGAGAATGTTTTTTTGACTACAAAATAGATTTCACACATAATAAGTACCAATTATCTTTATAAATATACAAAATCTAGTTAATAGACTAAAATAATGCTTAGAATATGTGACTAATTTGAGCAATATAAAAATACCCCACACTTGTCTTTTATTTTCCCCCAAGCAAAACTTGTTTTAATACATCACATCGAAAATTCGTTCTCCAATATCATAAAATACAATCTGAATTGAACTTACCAATTACGCCTCACCCCAATGCATATATTTGTGTCTAAAATATCATAAATACTTCCCATGTCCTAAGTACCACAATCATCATAAACGTTCCCTACTCAATTTAAAAAACATTCATTTTTTCATTCTTACCACCTATGACCTATTATTTACTCCTTACGTTTCAAAAGTTATTACCAAATTCCAAGCGACACAACTTACAAAAACCTGGATAAAGTAATATTGGTATGTTCATTTATTCTAACTATCTATTATATGGATATAGGGATGATTGTAGACCAATCAATTCAAAAAACCTAGATAAAGTAATATTTGTACCTTTTTTTTATATATCTAAATTAAGTTCCAATATATATGGAAAATCCCTTATATAGGATCAAAATCCCTTAAAATCACGTCTCCTCCATAACCCTATTCCTCTCATTTTTTTCCTTCGACCTCCATAACCTCATTACTCTTCTTCGGCCGTCGTCTCATTTGTTCATCCTTCCGGTATTGTTTTTTCTACATCTCTTTCTTTAAAATTGCTCTACCATTTTTTCACATCTATCTCTAAAATTGTCAGCCGACCATCACATATACCAACGAAGATGAAGCAGTGATTTACATGGCCAAGCTTCACATATTTAAGTAGTATATCAGGTAACAATTTTTTTATAATTGACTGCATCAACGAATTTGTTGATACATAATTGTAATTGAAATTTGTAGCCCATTTCTATTTTTTAGCACGTTGATTTCTTAATAAATCGGTTACCTTTAACTATTTTTCTTTGTTTTTTGGACTAGAATCATACTTATTAATAAGAATGATTGAAACTTTCGGTAATCGATTGATTTTCTTTAAATCGGATTTTTGTATTGGAATTAGGGTTCCTTTTTGATAATTGATTGGTTACTATATTAAATTGGAATTTAGGACCTGCTTATTGGAATTACTACTGGAATCAACGACTCAACTGTATGAATGCGGAGAAGGTTCTTGATTCTACATACGTAATCCATAATTGTAATAAATAAAACTTTTGAATATTGTTAACAGTGTCGTTATTGAAATTTGCTAATTGCTACTTTACCTCTTTATTTATATAGTTTTATTTGTTTTTTCTTTGAAATGCTTTTTTATTTCTTGTGTCAATTTTGAGTCGGAAGGATAACACGTTTGAAGTTATTTTGACATTACAAATGTTAGATCACACACTTGAAACAGGAATACTAAATCGAAGATGGAAAATTTGGGAGGCAAAAATCGACAATAAACAAGAAAGGAGAGAAAGTTATATAATGTAGTTTTTGATCTTTCTACATAAAAGATTTGAAAGGATATGGATAAGAGATTTTTTTCTTCATCTTTTGCTCTTGTCTTTGAATTCCATTTACTAACCAAAAAGTTTCTTAAAAATTAATTAGATTCTATTTATGTTTATAATTATACTGAATATATTGAAGGGTGCTAGAATCCCATCCATCGGGATTCTTAGTTAAATAAGATTATCGTACCAAATTTTAAAAAAAAATCTATATTTTCTAGATTTTCATTATATATGACGAGATGAATATATTTTTTTTATTTGCCCAATTTCATGAAAATAAGAATTTCATCTTTTATCATGTTAATAGAGGCTTCTTGATCAATAATCAAGAATATAGAAAAAGAGGCGGATTTTCTGTGACTTTTGATTCTTTATATAATTAAATCTTATACCAACAAAGAAAACCTCATTCGTCTAATTTTAACTTGGACTCCGATAACTAATTACTTGTTTTTTCAAAATAATTGAACTTAAAGTTCTAATTTTGTTCAAAGGAAAGAAAAGTGTGGAGTTGAAATAACTCACTCATAACGCTTTTTAAAGGATTACGTGGTACGATTATATCGAATAAGCCTTTCTGGAATAAATACTTGGCCGCTTGTGAACCCTCGGGTACTGTACTATTCAATGTTTGTTTAATTACTCTTTTACTCGCAAAGGCAATGTAGCCTTTGACTTCGGCAAAAATGATATCACCTAACATATCAAAACTAGTTATCACCCCACCGCTAGTTGGGGAATACATAGTGTAATTATGTTAGAAGGAGCAATAATATTCATTTAAAATGGAGTACTAATATATTCCGTCAGAATGGATTAGCAATATATTATGTCAAAATGGACAATATTATCTCAGAATGTATTACTATTTTAAATAGATTTCAATGTTTTTATTTGATTTTTAACCATTCTCAATTTTATTCTTTAAGAATAAATGTAATTGTTAACCATTATTAGTCATATTCTTTCACAATTAATGTAATTTTTGTTCATAATTGTATTATTTAAGAATGAATGTAATTACCGATTCTAAAATATTAAAATTCGTTTAATATAAATTTTGAATTCATTAAAAATTATTAATTTTGATAGTATATGTTTATAGTATTTTATTAGAATGTAATGATTTTTTTCAAGATTATCATAAAAACATTCTTTTAAAATGTCCGAATTAATAAAATTAGGATCCAGAAAAATTAGATTTTTAAAGTTAAGAGACTTAATTATTCCATAAAATCCGCAATTTTTCTTATTTAAATTTATTTTAAGTCACTAAAATACCATTACAATAAAATTAGATAGTATTTATCAATTATCTTTAATTCAATAATATTTATTAAACATTTTCTTAAAATAACTAAAATAATTGGTCCATAATCAACCGTACATCCACACAATAAAATCTAGCTATATATATATATATATATATATA